TTAGCAGCGACATTTTAAAACAAACAGTGTGCTGCCACTGTGCGAGCACTTTGCTCTTGCTTAACACTTGGTAGTTTATGTGAATGCAAAGAGAAAATGTGCAGGTGCTCTTTAATCAGTGTATCAAATTTCTTTATCATTTCTTATGTGCGCACACAAACACACACACTGCTAATTAAATCGCAACTATTTCAACATTCTTTTAGAATACTTTATTTAAAAACTGAAAACATTATTAGTAGGAGGATTGACTACAATAGTTGTGAAGTTCTCATGAATTTCTCCAATGCCAGATGCTTAAATACTACTATGGACAGGAGACGTGTGTACAGTCCCCTTCAACCCCCCACGAGCGCACAGTGGGGCCCTGGCTTTGGTGTTTCCCGGCGCAAGCAGCCACTCAGCACCTCCACCTGCCCCTGAGCCTCACCACCCACCGGGAAATGAAGGGTTTACATTCTGTCGTCTGCAGCATTCATAATCACAGGTGTCCTCCTTATATTCATCTTTCTGAGACAATAAATGGGGAATTTGAGCATTTGTGGTTTGAGGTCCAGGCCCAGATGTGGGTAAGGACTGGAGGTGAGGCTGCAAAATGGGGAGCCAGATGCAAAGGTGATGGGCACACTTCTCATCCAGAAAGGCAGATTAGTTGCCTGTGTAAGGTTTGGATTGCTCTGAACATGTCTATCCCACACAGTGGAATACAACCCAAAAGTTCCTGAACTAGTTGGTAAGCCCTGTGGCCTCACATCACATGAATGGACCAGCTGAGATCCAGACACATCTGCAGTCATTGCACAAAGGCAGCTCCCCTGTCCAAGCAGACCTGCATGCTGCCAGCTTAGGGGTTTCTGCTCCACATTTCCCAGTTTCCACTCTAGGCTCAATGCAGGCAGTGAGTCTGGCTGAAGAGCAAGCACCCTCTCTGCTACCGGGTCCAGCAGAGCTGGCAAAGAGTGGGTCAGGTAACTGAGTCAATGAGCAGAGGGTTTAAATATCCCAGAAAAGGCAAAGGGACTGCTGAATAGTCCCTGAATACGACTGCTCGGGAACAGAGACAACATGGGACTGCGAATCTTCAAATTTGCTGAAGAGATTCAAGTCATGATGTCTCCCAGCTCAGCATAAGATGACGACAGTACAGGAGGCAATGCGCGTTAATTGAAACACATCAAATTCTGCCTGAACAAAACACTCTTTTACTGTGAGGGTGACCATGCACTAGAACAGGTTTTCCAGGGAGGTGGAAAAAAGCCATTCAAAAGCCATCCTGGGCAACTGGCTTTGAGTGGCCCTTGCTGAGCAGGGGGGTTGGATCAGATGATCTTGAGAGGCTTCTCCCAACCTCAGCCATTCTGTGATTCTTTGATAGTCTCATCAGCAGGTCTAAGCACAAAATGTAAACCACTAAGGGCTTGAGTTAAGCAAGAAGATGGTGTTGTGGCAGCAGGATCAGGCAGCACAGGGCAGAAGGAAACCAACTCATTACCTGCATGATGATGAAGCAGGAGATTTTCCTGCCTTACGGTCCTAAGAGTGTCAGTCAACATACAGATTATAGATATGTGCAACACTTTTTGGGGGCCTGATGGTATATTCACATGTGCCAGCAGAGCAAGGCACAGTCCAGCTGCAGGACCAGGGAAAACTCCCAAAACCCTAACCAGAGCCTTCAGCACAGTGTAATTACTGAGATATCCTTTCAGTATCATACATTGCTGTTCCGGTTAGGAAAGTATTTCTCAAAGGCAGAATTTCTATCTAGGATGGAGTTTTGCATGTAGTGAATCATGTTTTTCTTCACAAAACCCATGCCTATGTAAAGAGGCATATCAAGTGTTGTGCCAGCACTGGGAACCATAAAGTGGAAGAAATAATAATAAGGAAATGCAGTATTAAAAAAAAGTCTGCAAGATTGCAGTCTTTGGATAATGGTTGGCAAAGACAGCTTGTTGCCTGCTGTAAGGAGTGCATGGTAGGAATCGGAGAAGATCTGAAATCTTTAACTGCTTCTCCAAGGACTGACACAGATAATATGGATCTGAGGATAAATTAGAGCCATAACCATACCAGCAGTCTCTTCCCTGAGCAAAAGCCAGCACTAGGCCAGCCTGTGCTGCTGTGGAAGATGATGCTGATCCCAACTTTGTATTAGAGAGATGACATAAGGTCAAATGTTCCTGAGCAGGATGTCTGCTAAGTTGTTGGAATGTCTCTGCACAGAATCAGAAAAGGGTGGGGGAAGCCAATTTCACAGCAGTGACTGGAAAGGAAGAAGAGAGACATGGCAAATATCCAGCAGAAGCAACTCATAGGCTCAGATACCATCATGGGCAAGGAGAACACCGAGCATGAGATACAGTAAGACAGCAAAGGCACCAGCTCTGCCTGACGCTGTCAGACTGCAACTGCAAGGGGCTGTCATTTCCCAGCTGGGTGACTCAAGGTTCTCTGTGTGGCAGAAGACTCAGGGTTTAAGGAGGAGCTTTTTCTTAATTTGATATTTCACCATTTCCAGAGTCAGTATCAGCCTTTAGTAAACAGATCCAGCACTGGAATGTCTAATATGTTTGGCAGGTTCCCAATAGGAAGGTCACATTTGCTGGTTTTCATGGTTCTGTGCTGTCTCTGGAGCTTTCAGGTCACTTGATCCCAAAGGACAGCCATGACTAGGACCATCATGAGCTGTTTGGTCTCATAGAAAGATTTTAAAAGCCAGGATATTAGTAATACTATTTTCACAAGACCAAAACCAATGAAGTTTCTTGCAGCAGTTAGTAAACCAAACTATGCAGGTGTGGGAGAAAGCAGGGAGAGTATCATTTAGTAGCTCCAGCGGAAACATGAGAAGGAGGTAAAGTGTAAATCTGCTCCACTCACTGTCAGGTAAGAATGGGTCTCCATGACTTTGACTTAAGCTGAAGTGAGAAACATTCAGAACATGCATCCACTACATAGATCACAACTTGGAGTTATTCATGCCTGGAGTGGAGAGAAACACTTGGGCATCAATATTATAAAAGAAGATGATGCTTCATTTGTACATGAATTTTAAGCATTGATCACCAAAGAAGAGCAAAGATCTCTCCAGTTTCTGCAGCCAGTGATGTCCCACACAAACCCTGCGGTAGCAGATGGAGACAGGGGCTTTTGTCATGCTGGCTTTCTTAAATGATGTGCCCTTCCTCTCTGAATCAAGGTAACAGGATATCCTCTGGGTAGCAGTGTCCATACTGCCTCTCTTCATGATGTCCTCATGAGAACTGGAAGACCTTGGCAACTCCTGTGTTTGCCTGCTAAGGAATGCCTGGATCAAGCACCTGCCTACAGAGCTTCATTTTCTCCCCATCAAACTATGACTGAAGAGACAATGGCTGCACCACAAGACGCTTTAGCAGCTACAGACAAACCAAATATACCTGGCCAGGGATGTCTTAAAGCAGCCTACATTCCTTTCTATAACCCCTTCTCTTCTGTGACAGCTTCAAGCACACGGATGAGACATAGGGTTGGCATAGGAAACACTTATCCTGTCCGTGGAGGTGATGACTGAAGGCTACTAAAGCCCATGGCACCTTGCCATGGCTCCTTGCCTTGCCTCCACCTACTCCCACTGGAATATGCAGGCAGCCCTACAGAGAAGGGCTGAGCAATGCAGCCACAACACATTCTCCTCCTCCTCCATCCTTGCCTCCTTGAACAGGGGAAAAGGGGGCAGGATACAGCACATTTCTCACCTGCCAGTTAATGCAGTCACTTTGGGTGTGCAGAGTGATAGCAGGGTACAGCAACACTACATCATGGTTTCAGCTGGGGCAAAGGGGCTAGCAGATCTGGAGAAGGTGTACTTTTGGGTAATGATCGTATGTAAATGTCTACATGACAACAAAGTACCCAGGGGGACATCACACTCTTGTGCACAGAGGCACTCTCCCCAAAACAGGGAATAGAAGATGTACATCCAAATAAGCACACAATCAGAAGGAGAAACCAAAAAGCCGAGCACTGCTGCATTGTGGAGGTAGTATCCAAAGCAGAAAAACTCTCCTAAAAGAAACATATCTACAGTTTCAGGGAAAGTGGCTTTAAATGCCTCATATCTGAGATAACTTTAAAAGCTCCCTGATTATCAGGAAGTGCAAAAGATGAGGCACCACATGACGAGGCTCTCACCTGGGCCCTGAGAAGCAGGGAAATGTACTGAGTCTGTAAGGGAGCGCAGCACACACCTCCCTGAGCTGGTCGAGCTGCGTAATGAGCCAGGTTGCTGCTGTCCTCTGGCAGACACCAGTCAGACATTAACTCAGCAAAGCTGTGTTTGCCTTACACTACAACCAAGCAAAGAAGGCCTGAGCCTTGGCAGAGCCCAGAGCTCTCAGCTACCATGTCTCGCTGCCACGTAAACCTGAGCAGTGTGGGGGTTGAGGCTGTGTGCTCTGCACTTCAGTTCTGGTGTCAGCTCAGGACTCAGCTCTCCCCAAAACACTATTCACTTCTGGAAAAATGTAGATGAGAACATATAGGCACAAACTTACAACAGTCTGTGTTTCTGGGCCTCCAGCCCTGCTGTTTCTATGCTTAACACTTCCTCTGGTGCTGCAGTGAGGGTGAATCCGAGCCCACCCAAAAGGAAAAGAATAAATACCCTATGAACCCAGATAACCCCGCTATACAGTTTTCAGTGTATGACTCTACAAGCTGATCCTTCATCTTGGTTTTGATCAGCTGGCTTGAAGGCTGAAGCATAAAAGGTCCATAATACCCTTTAAGCAGAACACACCTCAGCATAGTGGCTTTGAACTACCCAAAAGGCTGTTTTAATACAGCCTTGTGAGCTTATACAGAAGGATATATACATCATCAAATCATTCGGGAGGTACTTCCTCAATGACACTAAATCCTGGTTTACTGAGGCACTGATGGGTTTAACCTTTTACTTCAAAAATAATAATTAGCATATTTCTCAAACAGTGTAAGGGAAGGGAAAAGTTGAAAAAATAATGTTTAAAAATACTTGCCTTTAAAAATTCAACCCCTCTCATGTTACCAAAATCTAATTAAGGAATCCAGCAGCTGCTACCTCTGAGATGCCTTTGGTCCAAAAGCATTAGGATTCAATAAGTTTTCTGACCAAGACTTTCAAGCTCCTTCGCTGTCTTTAGTCCTGCTTCTCTCCTTTGTGTTTCCAAGGGTAGATTAGCTCTCCAAGGAACAGCTTCTTGCAGAGTGATGTCCAGGAATCCTTAGGGTAACAGCTGTAGGTCGGCAGCCTGTATGTCTGTACCACACTGCCATATGATAGAGGGTTGATCTAGGAGGAGAAGAAAGAGGTAGAGCAGCAATGAAAATGTGTTGTAAACACAGGCAGCTGAGGAGGGCAAGTCTAACTTATGCATAGCAGTGGCCTCTGTTAAAACATCAATACAGCTACTCACAAAGCATCCGAGTCCCTCTCTGGCTGGCTAAAGCTGTTTAGGCTTCTACAACATCCAGAAACATTAACAAATGGAGCTTGGCAAGGAGTATTACCAGAATGATTTTCAAGCAGAGAAACAGACGCAAGCACCAGCAAGATTTGAGAATGATGGTCATTACACAAGGGTGTAGAACTGTCGCCTTGTTGAGTTAGGAGGTTGCAGTGGCTGAAGAGGTGTGGGCCTCCCTCCGCAGACAGCAATGCTTCATTGGGGATCACTGCGACTCCATGACGTACAAGTTAAGCCATATCTTTTACAGACCTACTGCTTTAATGTGCTAAGCCCTCGGCCACAGCTATGCTTTAAGATAAACCTGGTATCACCCGATACCCAGTGGAAGGGAGTCCTAGCAGAACAGGATGCATACCACACAGTGCCATGCAGTGCTGCTCATTACCATTTAAAATTAGGTCTCATTGGCTATTTAAAAAATTTATTTCAGTCACCATCCCAAGAATGACCACATCTGGAGTTTCTGCCTATGAAAGTTCACAGTCTCTGGTTATGGTCACAAAGTTACTGTATTGGTCTCTTGGAAGATGTGGAAGGCAGACAGACACGTTAGCTGGACAAAGGGTGACAGAAGCACATTAGACCTTGGAAAATGTCATTCCACTGAAGCATTTCAGGGTAGAGAGATAGGTGAGGTCCAGAGCAGTGATCCAGTCTGCCCAAGATCCGGTGCATGAAAACGATGCACAGCAACAGACTGTCAAATTAGTTTCAAAATACAACATTGCTGAAGCAGAAGAAAATGCCTGTACAGAGAAGCATCCCTATGAAGTTTAGGAAAAAGACCAGGGCAGCAGCTTGCACAGGTTGAGGAAAGCCAAAACACAGCCAGAGCCAGCGCGGTCTGGGTGCAGGACACTGACTCATAAGCAGATATGAAATGGGTCCCAAACAGATCACGGGAAGCTATATCTGAATGAGACAAAAATTAACATTTGTACCAGAATCTAAGAGCGTTAAGGAACTCATACTACCTGAGGTATGTCCAACCCAACCTCATGCAGCTCATATTTCAAACACATTCTACAGCCTAAAGGCCAAGGATCAACCACAGCATTTATGGGACATTCTGCACGACTATAACCAACCTCATCGCACTGCGGTCACAGAGTTAGCCAAAAAAGAAAAGAAAAATTAGGAAAAAAAATCCAACCAAAGAAACTTGCCTCCAGAACAAACAATAGTCAAACTTGAGTAACTATTTCTGCCCATTTCTTCAGCTGTAGGCAAACCAGTATGTTTTAAGTGAAAACATGCTGGGGGAGGATAGGAACTGCTGCTATACAAGGGAAATACGCAGTGTATGTTCCTTTGACTATTAGCTACGTGGGCTGGAAGGTTTGGACACAACATTTCTCACTGAAAATCATCCCTTGGAAGAGTGCCGATACTGAGCGGCAACGCTTGCCTACCGAGAAATAACAAGAGATGGTTTTACGCCCAGTTCAATATATGTGTCTGCCTCTCCTGTTATAAATGGAAACAAATGAGCAAAACAAAAGCAGCCGTTTATTAGGAAAGTGGCAATACGAGTTCCTTTTATGCAATTTCTGTAGTCCAAAGCTATAATATACCCTGATACAATATACATCCTTGGTTTCATAATGGAGCTGTCCCCTTTTCCCTTCCTCCTTTGCTTAACCATTTTCAAAGCAAGTGCTGCGAAAGATGACACTTCTAGCAGAAGGTATATAGATGAATCAATCTCATTGTGTCTTCTCACTAAGGTTCAGTTGAGTCTCACTGCCAGAAATATTTCTTCCTGTGCAGCAAAATAAATTATTTTAAACACTAATGAAAATACTGAACTATTTAAGACTTCCTGGAGAAAATTAAGTAGCATTTGGAATGGAAATACCATCCCCCGCCCTCCGCCTGCCTGAGTCTGGACTTCACTTTCCAGTGACACTATCTTAAAAATAAAAAATAATCACTCAGCTGAACCACAAGGCGAATGCGAATGCTCATTATTGATTTCTAATCCATTACCAGTGCCTCAAAGGGCAGCCATGAATGCACTAGTCACCTATAGCTTAAATTGGTTTAGGTGTAGTTACATGCATACAGACTTACTTCCATCAAGCCTAGCTCTGGAGGGCTACCATATGGGAAGCAGACAAAGGCACTGTGAAATTTCTAGAAAGGAACAATCATGTACCATAAACAAGAATTTTAGCATGTCACTTAAAAATAGGCTTTTTGGATTGTTCTCTCAAAAGACCTATCAGAAAGTGGTATATGCAGCAGGATTTCTGACACAAGTCAATTTTTCATTTCCATCAGCACAAAGAGAGAAGTAAAAGTGCCTTTAACGACCCTCTGCTCATTATTATTTGAACAGAAGGCCAAGAGAGACATCCACTAAAGCACTTCCACCTTTTGATATGATGACTTACGCTATATTCCAAATAGCAGAAGAATCTTTCTGCAGTGGCCAAGGAAAATTCATCACATTCATATGACTCACTGCTTCTGCTCTCTAAGTCGTGATCTTTTTCCTCTGGAGGAGCAATCTACCTCATCTCACAAACACACTGATCCCAAATTCCCTGCTCAGCAGCTCCTGTGCCTCATCTTTGGTGTCTGGTTTCCTTTTTATGGAGTCTTCTGGCCATGGAGAATGACAGATTTTGGTTCTTACCCTACCCAAGGAGAAGAACTGGAAGGGCAGCATGCTTAGGAAATGGTAGTTTTGCCCTAGAAGACATCTGTTGAAAGGATTCCCCTTTGAATTGCTGCTTGCTGGTGTGCTGGTTCTGTGCTGATCTGACCTCTGCTGAAATAGGGCTGCACTGGTGATGGAAAAAGCAAAAGAACTGGGAAGCCACAGTTAATTCCTTCCCACACACTCCCCAGTGTCCAAGTGTTTTTTATAAATTCTATACACTACTTGCAGACTCTCCTCTTAGGATGCAAAGAGCAAGAAAAACGACCCTGTGATGTGGCAGTACTTCTGCAAAGCCAGGAAATGGATATTTCACAATCACTCCTGAAAACATAATGAGGATTTCACCGGAAATCAAGGATTTCAATGAAAACATAATTGTTTTTCAGAAAAAAAATTCCTTTAGTATACCTGATGACGAAGCATGGAAATGTGAGGTTACAAAAGCACAGGTAAGCTTTTCCTATGCACCTTACCAGAGCAACTTGGGAGAATAACAGGGTGCCCTTCCCTCTCTTGTCTCACCCACACACATATCCTGCTGGTATCATGGAGCAGCTAAGGCTTTTCAACACATCTGGAGGGAAAGACCTTTTACTGGTCCTTCGTTCTGGATGGTTTAACTGCCACTTTTTGCTTCTCTCAGTGTTCAACAATTATTAAAGTGAAGCTGCATAGAGCCAGGAATTGAGGTGTAACAGAGAAGTAACAGAGCTCCATGTTACTCATATCTTTCACAAGTCACTTCACACCATACAGGACACATTGCATTTTCTCTAAACTGCAGACTCAAGCAGGGTATTAAAAAGAAGAGAAAGCATCAGCCAGTCATTGCAATATGAAAAATATTTCCCTTGTTTCAGCATTCTACAGCTGAAATTTTTTTAAGTGGGGCTTTTCAGTGGGACCAGTTTCCGAACTGCTACAGAAAAGAACCTTGGGGTCAGTCGGAAGGGAAGCCTGCAGCAGAAACTGTCATGAAGGGCACAAGTGTCTTACCTGCATAAGGAGTCGAAGAGGTTTTCCATCCTGCTGCTCAAGGACTCTGAACTTCACACCAGCTGAAAATAAACAAAACAAGGAAATCAAATTCATGCTGGAGAAAAGCCCATGCCATTTGCTGCTCAGGTCTATTGCCTGAGCACTAATTTCCTAGAAATGGAGTTTTCAACCTTTCCCGATTTGTCAACCCTCACACATTTTCAACAGGAAGCACAGATTCTCTCTACAGTAGTTCTAAGCATAATGACAAATGATGTGTTTCTCTTAGCTCCGTTAAAAGCAGCTCTTCCAGCTTGAAAATGCAGTCCTAAAGAAAACACAAAGCCGAGAAATCAGACAGCCAGACCTGATGATGACAAAAGAACTGGAAAAAAAAAAAAATCTTTCTTTTCCCACCTTCCATCAGAATGGGAACTCCATGTTAACAGCAGGCAGAGAACGCACCTTTAATTTGTGCTCATATGGATACAGCACATGTGCAAATCTCTCCCTCTTTCAGAGTAAGGGAGGAAAGTGGCTGGCCTGGAGGCATTAAAGACATTTCAAAGCAATCATTGCCTATTAATCTCAGCATTCATATATTTTTAACACACTACTAACCCCATCACACCTGCCACTTTTATAGTTCCTCTTGGACTTGCTACATTCTCAATGCTTTAAAGATAAATAGGAAATATTTTTTGATTCCAAAGGTGTCATACTGCAGATGAACATTTAATGCAATGTTTCAAACAAAGGTGACAATTAGGACTAGTGAGGCATTTTTCTTTGAAAAATCTTGCATCACTTCACAGAAATAAAACCAATCCATCTTCTGCAAAACAGCCAAGTGAACCCCTATTATTCCTTTCTACAGGTAAGAAGATGAGGCAAGAGCAATGAAGTGATCTGTCACATATCAAAGTCACTCCAGAGTACAAATAGAAATCAAACTCTTCATCTGTTTAAGCCCCATTGCTATAGTATCTACGCAACTCGTACATATTTAAAAAAAACAACCAAAAAACCAAAACATTTTCTCTTATTCCTAAAGCTTTGAATTAATTAAAATTACAGAGTTTACTCATTGTGAGAGAGAAGACCCTTGTCTAGCACACAGCTCTGGTTTAAAGCATCTCCCCAAATCATAAAGCCATTTTTGTATTAGACAGGAAGGATTTATCTGTGTTTTGCTGCATTATACTGAAATATGGGCTTCCCCAATGGCTTAAAAAAGATGTTTGAGTACCTTGGGCCTGAATAAGCAAATGTGCTGCGTGACAAAAGTCGTTCAATGTGATTCATTGAGCTTTGGCTAAAAGGAAGTGTATAAGCCATTCCAGGAACTACTTTCCAGGCAGACAATTTGTCAGAGAGAGACAGAAGCAAGTGAGCAGTGAAGATTCAAGTGGTCAAGCACTCTGGAGCCTTATCCTAGGATCAGCCCATTAGAACAGAAAATGCTGCTTCTGCAGGTCATGGCCAGACACTTCCCTTCTACAGCTGCAAGCCAGCAATCTCTTAATTAGATTATTTAATTGTTCAAGAGTCTTAAACTTCTAAAAACATACATGCACAAAAAGACCACATATAAATTTACTTTAGACTAAATTGACATGACAGTGTAACCATCCCAACTGAGGTGGCATCCCTTGAGCTGACACTGGGCAGACAGAACTCTTGCAGAAAGGACATCAGCTTTGACATAATTGCAAAAGGCTTTTTAAAGTCCAAAGTGTTTAAATTCTAATGTGTGGAAAAAAAAAAACAATTTTGTTTCTGGTGTGTGGATAGTTTGTTCATCTATCTTTGCCCAGGCTTCTTCGATATAATATTCTATTAATTCAGAAACTGAGCCAAAGAATTTGGAGGCCAGATGCCGCAACTGAACTGAGTTGAACTTAAAACACTGCACTAACCCCTTGCTGACAGGAAAAACTATCCTTTCATGTTGGTAGAACCATCACGATGATGCCTGTAAAATCAGCTGCCATAACATATGCCAGAGGATGTCTTATCCAAGTTCTGAGTCTGAAAAGGAAGGCAAAACCTAAGCAGTGAGGACATCAAGTGATGTGTACTCTCTGAAGTCCTTTGAATTTGATTCAACTCCTCCATCTGTTCCCACTCCAATGACACATTCTTGTGCTGGGGCAGGAACACAGGCTGCAGACATTCTCAGAGATGCCTCCTCATCTCGCAGGCAGCATGGCACCGCAGTGTTCTCTTTCTTTGAATGTTTAAGAGGAGCAAACAACCAACCAACCAAGAAAGTTGATCAGGTAAAAAACACAGCTGAGAAGACAAATCTCTGCCTGGGTGGAGGCTTGCTGCCCTGCAGAATGTAGCTGGCTGAACAAAATTGAGAAGCTAAGACTGATGGAAATATATGGCCTTATCTCCCAGTGGCAACAAGGTTTCCTTTCTACCCTATGACCTGCTGTTTACTGCTCAGTTTTCTTCAGCAGCATCTCCTGTTTTCCAAAGACAGCTCTGACGGGTTAAGAGGTTTCTGCCGGGAAATTCATAGGAACCTGCTGAAGATGCATATGGAAAAGCAACAGAGTTGGTAACATGGCTCAGCTTCCCAGAAGTGAGGCTGGCACTGCTCCAACAGACAAAGCTGTTATTGGTTCCTCAAGCTTCCATTGCATTTGATGGCTAGTCTTGGTTTAAGCGATGATCGAGCTCTTTCTTACATTTAAAACTCCTGTTGCATGCTCTTTAAATGGAAGGGAGATAAAGGTTTAGATCCACTTGATTTTTACTAGATTAACTATAGCTCTTGACAGTTAAATCCATTGTAAAACGGCCCTTTACCCCCATTTCAAAATGCCAATCGTGGTTCATGGTTACCAAAAGAGGAAAAACAATGACTGGCTTCAAAATGGTAACAGATTAGTCTCAAAAAAAGAACAATTATCTCAAATCAGCCCAGAGATCTGAAATTAAGCTAAACACCTCAGCTCAGGACTTCAGTACAAGTCAGCACAGAACCAAAGCAGCTCCATTGATTCCCAGCCACTCTAGATACAGCCCTTTGAAACAGCAGGTTTTCCAAGTATTTTTGTAATTTCTGTAATCTGGCTTGTTTCAGAGCCCAAACACCCAAAGTTCACAGCTTGTTTAATTCTCAGAAGTTTTACCTGACTTGGTACACTAGAACAGGAATCAAAAGATGAACTCATTTATCCGGTGCTTGCTTGGATGTCAGTTTTAGTTGCCAGAGGCTTTATAAAGGTGCTCCTGATTCTGCTTCAGCATCAAATTTCTTTCCATTGACATCCTCATCCTGCTCCTTGCAGTATGTGGTTAACAGTAAAGACAACTGCACAACTTGAGCCCTGGGTTTTCTCCCCCGCATGTCTCTATTCAGAAGCTATCCATTGCATCAAAATTAAATGCATAATGCAAAATCCTCGAACTACTGCATGCTCAGTGCTGAAGGACTTACCTGCGAGTCTGTAGGATCTGCAGAGCCGAAGGATGATTGAATAAAGCGGCAGAGAGTCAATCAGGTCAACTAGCAAGTGTATCATGCCTTGCACAATCACCACCAGCAAACGGAGCTACAAAGAAACAGTTCAATAAGAAAATCTCAGAGAAACAGGAGACGCAACACTCACAAATTCATGAGCTGATCAGCAAACTGATGTTGTGTGCTAAGCTAAAGCCTCTCAAAGCGGGTTTGATGTCTGTAAGTGGTGGGCACACAGATCCTGCACTGGGTTCCTTGACAATCTTAGCGTAGGGTATAACTGATGGTTGTAGAGGCTGTGACCTGCAAGGACATGAGAGCGTTACCACTTTCAACAGCCATAATCTAAAAGGGAGAATTTAGGCTTCCATTTCTAGACAACTCCATCACTGTGTATCAGTGAATGCAAATTTTTCTTTCTCCAGCAGTGAACTGAAGTAGCTTATTTCTACCTGAAGAAACTCCATGTAGAGCATCTAAGCAAGAACAAAGCAGTTAGAAATGAGCTTCCCGCGCAGTGTTTTCTGTCCCCTGATTAAAGCACCTCCTTTTGTCAGGCTGCAATTTTTTTTCTTTGCTGCCAAGCTCATTTGAAAAGAGAGGGTTCAAAAAAACATGTTGAAACCATGTGATGGCCACTGTCTACAGAAAATTTTGCTCCAGGCAGGACTCAGAAAGGAACTGCCATATTGGAGGAAGAAACAAAAAATAGTCCAACCCTCTAAGCAAAACCTGGCTGAAAGCATTTAACACAGCAAGTTAATTTCCTGGAAAAAAGTTCTGGATCAAACTAGAGGGGCTGTCACCCCAGACGTGGGATGGAAAGATTAAAAAAGTACTTCCAAGTGAAAAAGAGGGGAACAGCTTGTCCTGCTGACCGGGATTTGCTGCAAATTCCCTTTGGAGAAACACAAACATGTATCCTGAATTCCACTTGCTTGGCCTACATGGGCTGTGTGAGAACCCTTCCTGGGATGCTTACACAAAAGTCTTGTATTTCCTTTGTGGATGACAGTAAATGACCAGGAAACCCTTGTTTTTTTGTTTTGGTTTTTGTTTGGTCTTGGTTTGGGTTTCTTAGTTGTTTGGTTTTTTTGTTGTTAACATCTCAAAAGACAGTATATTATTAGCTTGAAGGGTTAAATCTTACCAGGGTAAACACCAAATAATACAGTGCAGTTGTAGGCAGCAGGAACAGCAGGATCGTAAATAGCAACGTGCCAATAAATAACTAAGGGAAAAAAAGAAACACCATCAATCATAAGGAGAGCAATGGCAAAATAAAATAAAAGATAAAGAAAAGAACAGGAAAGTCTGAGACAAAGAAAGTTTGCAAGACTTCTTAATGTGTTTTCTTACTCCCTATGTGAATAATGCTGTTACCATGAATATTTTCAGTATTTCTTCTCTCACTGGGCTTTTCTAGAAGGCTTTTATTGTAGGAGTATGTTTGCAAAGAAAAATAAGCTAGGTCCTGACAGCATTTTTTCCTGTATAGACAATGCTCAAGATTTCCTATTTCAGGCTTCCTTATGAAACAAGACCTACATGATCATGCTGTTTATGCACCCCCTATCCCTGCAAGTTTTAAAGCCATTGGTCAGTTTTTATCAGAAAAGGTGGAAAGATACAAAGAGGTAGAAATTTGGGTGGGAATTTTGCAGATAATTGAGAAGTACGTTTGTTCCTCTTTGTCCTACTGGAACAAGGACCTGAGAAAAATCTGACAAAATTTGGCTGATAAACATTCTCAGCAGCAGCAGCCAACTGGTCAGTCCAGCCACAGGACTTCTGCCTCTTGCTCGGTGGGAAACGGGGAGAGAGAAAGAAGCTGGAGTTACTGGGCTGGGGGCAGTGATATTTAGAGGATGGAGGAGAAAAATCCATAGGAAAGCGGGTGTCATTAGCTCCACTGCCCACAGAAAAGGTTATTTTTGTTCTGGGCCAGCCTAGTTGGCTTAAGTCTAATTTCAAATGGGAGAAATGCAGTTTAAGGACAAATAGGGATCTGACTCTTCAACCTTCAGTCACCACTTCCAGAACAGAGAGGCCACAGGAACACAGGGCACTACCATTTCTGCAAAAAGAGATCATGGCTGTGGTACATTATGAAATAAAATAACCCAGACAGCCCTGTCACAGAGGTGGATCGGCATACCAGCTTTATGCACATAACCAGAAATAGATCATAACCCAACCCATTCTCTTCACAGCACTTGCTTCTCCCCTCCTCTGTCACTCCAATGCAGTTGCTTAACATCTCCAAAAGTCTTTTAAGGTCTGCTTTGAATGTCTCTTCCACCCAGGCCAACAACGTAATTCCCACCGGCCTTCAGAGCAGCAGGATGAAGCCTGAAGTGCCAAACTAATTCTCCTCAAAGTACGCAGGGACTGAGCCCTGACGCAAACTCTCTTGTTGGCACGGAGGCTCTTACTTTTCCATCACGAGAGAAACAGAAAAATAGCTCCTCCACTGTGGTGTAACAAGCTCAAGGTTATCTGTTGCAATGGAGAAAGGTGCACTGGCCCTGGAAGTTACCAAATATTATTGTATTATCTTAATGCTGTGTGCAACTGCTGGCATGGAGCAGTTCAGGCTCTGCTGAACTTTTGCATGGCATTTCAGAAATTAAAAAAAGCTTACAGCATTTGACAAAAATCTGCCTCTGCTGCTTGAGTGAGAACGTGTGGGCCAGGCTCCAGTGCAATGTGAATGAAACAGGGCCTTTTAATAGAAATGCTGGCACGTCTGTTACTGTGGCAACACTGCTGGGCACCACTTTTTAAATTGCCTCCCTCCCCCATACCCACTCCCTGCTCCAGGAGCTGCGAGCATCTGCAGCAGACACTGCAGCTCACCAGGATGCCTTGCAGGTGCTTAGCACTTGCGAGAATTAGACCCCCTGAACACACAGAGAAACGAAAGGATGCTGCAGAGCAGCAGAGTCCAAGTATTTGGTTGAAGAGCCACGGATGCAGAGTGCCAGGGCATGCACTTGTTCTGGGAACCACAAAGCCTCCCTGTGGCTTCTGTCTCAGTATCAGCCAAAGCACCCAGGATCGTATCACCCGTGGGCAGCGTCCTGCAGCAAGCCCCGGGCACTGCAGCACTACCTGGTCCAAGTCATAGGAGCAGGAATCCACCCGCTGTCGGAGGACATTCCACTTCTTCCCACGGAACAAGCGCCAGAGAGATGACAGGCCGTAAATCTTCAGACAGTAGAGCCTGAGCAGAGAGAAGATGCTGCGCATCAGAGCTGTGAGTTCCTGAGCTTCAACACAAAACAGCTTTCATCATTACATCCCTGTGCCCACTCACTTACCGACACTGCAGAACTCAGGGTGGCAAAAGAAATCAGCCTGGGAATGACGCAGATAAAATACTGATTGCTCAGTCAACTGCATTTGGGCTGGCCCCTGGCACGCACAAAGCAGGCTACTGCAGACAGCTCCGGACCACTGGAGGGCAATGGTCACACCATGCCCCGGGGCTGTGGCAAAGCTCTTGATTTCTGCTCCCATTTATGAAGAGGCTGGTATATGGGAAGTGGCAAGTGCTGCTGAAGGGTGGCCCCTATGAGCAGCAGCAATAGCCAACCCCATGCCACTACCCTCCCTGCAGCAAAAGCAGCAGCAATCTTATTCCCCCAAGCTCACCTCTGTCTCTCCAGTTTGTAACTGGTCTGTTTCTCTTGCTTCACACCCCTTCCATTGCAGGAGTGGCCAAGGTCTTACACCACACACTTGAGTAAATACAATTTAATTTTGCCTGCGCACCACAGAGAGGCAAGGGAGAGGACTGGAGCCCCTGCACCTTCTTTAGTAAACCACAACTTCAAACATCTGTAAGACTGGGAAGAGATCAACTAAACGGCTGGTGGGCCCCACCACATCCTTTCCTTAGGCTTTTGTAACTTGGTGCTATGACACTTGGAGCTACTTCCCTCCCAGAAAAATGGCAATGGTGAGAGAAGCTTGGGGTGATAAGGGGTGGGAAATAGAGACACTGACAGAATAACAGAGGAAGAAAGAGCCCCTAGGATGGAGAAGAGACACACAGAGCCCTAAGCAGCAGTGCCCAATGTACAGGGATGTAAAGAAGGGGGACATAACCAACCTGTGGGGCAGAACAGAGCCTGAGAAAGCCTGAGATACAAAAGCCAGACTGGTTAGCCAGCCTAGTTAAGGTGTGGAGGCTGCTCAGATTTCAAGGCAGCATTGTGAAAGCAGAGGCAAGGAGTCTTATCCAAGAGAAGAATCTGGTTTGAGGAACACCAACTGCTTCAAGGAATTGGCAGGGTTCCCCCAGACTGGCAGGCAGAGCTTGGTGCACTAATCCCTAGGCAGGAGGATGCTCAGGACAACTCCTCCAGGTTGCTGGTACACACCTGCCCGTGGCTCTGACTAAGGCTACACACTCCCCCGCACACCCCGACGTTGCGCCAAGTGGGTGTTCCTGCTGTAGCACCTGCTCCACCTTCCCTGGATGTCTGCACACAATATCCCTGCTTTCCTTTCACTGTGATGTTTGTTTCAGAAGGGGATCTCAGGTTTCACCAGCACCAGAACCAGCAAATCCTTCCGCCAGCTGCAGGAAGACAAGGTGTTGTGGTGGCTGTGTTGATGTGGGTGACTGCTATCCCTTCCTGATTCTGTGCGGGGGGCACCTGGCACAGCAGGGGGAGTTTGGTGCCAGCAGCAAGATAACATAGCTGCTCTATACTTCTAACAAACAGCCCAGGTGGGTAGGCTGGCTCCCTGCAGCTCACCAGAGAAAAGCAATCAGCTGAGAAAATGCTTTTCCTGTTTCCACTCTCTGCACATTTAGGAGGAGCAAGGCCACTCTTCACAGACCAAATCAGAAATCTCAGGAATCTGAGGTGTTGGGAAGAGATTCTCCGTTACTGATATTACTGATTTTGGGTGTAAGCCCTATGCTCACAACAGACTGGATTCATAAACCCATTTCTACATTTCTACCATTCTCTAAACTACCCATAACTAAAAGCTCTATTTATTCTGCTGTTTGCAATGTAGAGCCCTCTGCTCACAGCCTGGGGAGGAACAATGACTATTTGCTACTTTACAAGCCAAAAGTGTCTTTATTTATTACCTTGTTGCTCATCTCCTCAGCAAGAGCAGCTGTTCCCCAGTGGCCTTGCTACAGACCGTGTAAATGGACGGCAGGAATAGAGCATGTTGGTGGGCACTGTTTGCACAGTGACCCTAACACGGGCCGGATGTGTCCCAAAGCCCTCTGCACTCCCACACACTGCCTCAGAGGCTCTGCCTGGCTCTCGGGTCACGGTACCCTCCAGCACATCCATGCTGTAACCACAGCCCTGCCATCTGCACTCCACGATGCAGACAAGAACCTCTGAAGGAGGACAGAGGCAGGGACTTTGGGACTTCTCCAGAAGTACAAGGGTTCCTCTTTCCTCCTCCTCTCCTCCAAACTACTAGGCAGGATGCAACTGAAAAGAGTACTATAAAATTGAATCAAAGGGACTGAATGAACTGTTTTCTTGTCTTCTGCCTGTCATGGGGTTTTCTTTTTCCAGGTCATTACCACAATAATAAATATTTAAATGCAGGAGAATTGAAAGATCTGTTGCTTGTACTGCTGTGGCCATCACTTCTATATGAATGCAATAAATTAATCCCTGGCTAGTCTATGAATTCAAGAGAACTACACTAGGATTGAATACTCCACAAATTAAACATGTGCCTTTAGGGTCCAGTGGCCCTTCCCTCCAAACATACCTAAGACACAACCAAGAGAGATCAACTCACCTGGCTCCGTAGACATAGAAGCAGTAGATGTGGAAGGTCAGAAGCGCAATGATGTCAGAGAGGATGCAGAGAGCCACGGTCAGGCCCAGGCAAGCAGACAGACCAACGTACCAGAGGATCATCTCAATGAATGGGGACATCAGGTGAATGTAGCCTAGCAGACATTGCAAAGTGTCAGTACTTGACTGAGACATCTTCCTGTTGACACTCTCAAAAGACTGATTCTCCCCACCCTAGAACATTGCTCAAGAAATCATAGGGACAAAAACATGGAAGTAAAACTGGAAAATTCCTTTAAATACCATATTCTGTTTAGGAGGGCCAACAAAACCTGTCTTTCCCCCTAGGTTTCTGTCCATGTGTGGCAGCTCTGTGAGGAAGGGGAGGACATGCTCAGCTTGAACAGAGCAGTAACCTTGCTTCATATGTCATTTGCTTTTCTAGATTTGTGTCCAGGTTCCTAATTACATTTCTAACTGCACACATCAACCTTTATTGCAATCATTTGCCTTCTCTTCCTATTCCTAAAATAAGGTAGTGTGGAGGCACACAGTCTCTTTCAACACTAAAGTGGAGCAGAGTCACAGAAACGAGACCACAATTGATTGGTGAGCAAAGTAAATCAATGTAATAACTAAGGAGTTCATGTCCATCATAACTGTACTTCTCTTCAAGGCACTTATCAAGGATAACAAGGGTGTGTTATTTCAAGAAGGAACTTGAAATAACAAAATCGCACTAAGCTTAAGTCAGTGACAAGACAGGGTTGGCATTTGCATCCCGAGAGCACACTTCTCATCCCTATCCTATCAGCTGCCTCTTACATGGCAAAGACTATGAAAGCCTGCGTAAGAACTAAAGCTCTCCCTGGGACACTCACCACTAATGGCACCAAGTAAGTAAGCTCTGTCGTGACTTGCACTTCTTGCAAAGCATCAATACAAGCATTTTATTTAATATGCATGACTTCCTTGTGTGGGAATCCAACTTTGGCTTCAGTTCCCACAGCAGAAAGACTCACAGGCAAGTCAGTACTTGCACTAGCACATTTTGATTCATTATTCGCCTCTAGGCAAACATTAAACACTCGGGAGGGAAGAGATGAAAAGGGAGGCTGAAAAGCTAAACAATTGCACTTACTAATCCAAAGATGGATGTGGTAAAGGAAGAAGCGGCCCAAAACCTGATCCAAAGCTCGGTTCATTTTCAGTCCAGCTGGTGCTCCCATCAGCCACTGGAGCAGGTCCTGGAGCTCTTCAGCTACGTGCTACAAACACATGGAAGCAAGGCACCTAAGATAAAAGACTGCTACTGTACTGGACAGATTCAGTGTACAGTACATGCTACCCCCCACAAAGTATTCTTACCACACCTTTCAAACCAATGGAAAAAAATCTAAATTGCTACTTTACAGACAAGTAGTTAAATCAGAAATGCAGCCTTACTGACTTTTTACTGAACTCAAACGTAACAGCAGAGAGGAAGCTGAACTGCTGAAAAGGTCTCAGTGCTGGTAACACGAACCTAGTGTTTGCTTGTGGCCATTTCTGGTAGACTTGCAGAGTATGACTTCTTGGTATGATGGGAGTTTTTGAAATAGATGGCAAACATTGGTGCACAAACCACCTTCACTGGACAGTCAACTGAAAAACTGAACTGAGAGTAATCTAACTATGGAGAAGGCTGTCAGGACTTTTAAAGGGGCATGATGGCTGCACATTCACGGGCAAAAAAGGCAATTTTAAACCACAAAATAACCTGTATGTGCTTACAGCAGGGTAGAAACCACAATTCTATAAACATACTTAATATTTAAAAAATATCTTTATACTCTGTGGTGTACTAGGCAAGATTAATAATGGTATATAGCACTGATCACATCTGCCACTATTTTGTATCTCTTGTAGACTTCATGGAGTGATACCTATGGGATCCCAGCAAAAAAGAAGCCCTCTGGATAATTGAGAACAAAACCTGATGGAGATCATCCCCAAATCACTGAGCTCTTTGACTTACAATTTCTGGCAATTTAACCCCAGGCTGTTGTTATTTACTGATTTTCCCTCTCCACCCCACGACTCTGCCAGAGGTCTCCCTTGCAGTCAGCAGACCAGGAGATGGGGTGGCTCTGCTTCTTGGCAGTTTGCATCTGACCTACTCACCTATGCTGAAGCCAACGGTGAAGTTCACTTACCAGGCTGTGAACTGAGACAGCCGAGAGCAGTAACCTCCAGGTGGGGAACATACCTGGAAGAAGTGACCTCTTACACTGTCCCACATGTACAGAGGTGGTGAGTAAAAGCCTTCTACCTCTGAAAATCCCACTTAAAGCCGAGCCCATGCATGTGAATTGCACTGCAAATTGCGTACGTGCAGAAGAATGAACACACGCTACCTGAAGCTGATGCACTATAGCCTACTTTTCCCATCATTCACATGGATAATTTACCCAAAGGCAAATGATTTCCAAGGAATGAGTCCATCTTATTTGTTAACCAACAGGATCCTTGCAAAATGAGTTTGTAAACATTTACTTTTAGTGTAGTGACAAAATTAAGAGCTCCATCTTCAACTTATCTGAAAGGATTGCCATTTTATTTCATTCATTTTCCCTCTGTCTCAGCGTCCCTTAAAATAACTCACTGCAAGTCAGAACTGATTTGGATCTTACCTCTGCGGCTGAGAAGTGTTAGCTACTTTATAAATAGACTGTTTTCAATATTTAAAGTGTTGGATTGGTAACTTAGAAAAAGCATTTGGGGATTTTAATGAAATATTTAAATGCTTGAAAGCAGTCCTTCAGCAAGGCTGTTTTTCAGCACTATACTTCTGGAGGCTGCCAATCCGAGAGGTGCTACTAAATTCTGACAGGGGCACGTATCTCTGGGAAGGTCCCCTACCTTGCCATTATTTAGCTGGGCAAGACATTTCAAAACATAGTCCTGAGGCATAACCTTGCAGGCTGTTTTCCAGCCAGATATTTTAGGACTGATCAATAGCAAACAGAATCAGAAAAGGTGACTGGGAGTCCAATTCTCCTGTTGCAGTCATTAACACTGGATGTGGCCAGTATTAATAAATAAGATGCAGTGAATTACATGGAAGTGCTTCATAAAGGGGTGTAGGGCCAACTGGAGACTAGGGCTAACACGGTTTAGATGAGAACACTGTGCAAATATTTTCTTCATGCTCTTCTTTCTAGTCTCCATATGCAGATGGTCTAACGGTGACATGGATGGAGAAGGACACACAGTGCACTGCGGGTGGACACCGTGGGCACTGGTAACCACAGAGCAAACTTCCTGAGCAGAGCAGCTACTGCACATCAGAGCCAAAGCACTCCCTACCAGACACATTGGCTCTGTCTGTTGCAGGTGTCTGGGGCTCTAAGTTACACTATTTTGCAAATTAATGCCTACGAATATTTTCCAGGAAGTATCCTCTCTGCTTGCCTTGTTTATGGACTAGCAGAACATGACTGAATAGGAACTTACATCCAATTATCTCTAAGCCCCAGTAACATTTTTGGAGGCACGATCTATGATAAATATTTAACTGTTTCAAAGAGATTATAGCTTAAGAAAAAGAGACATCAGCAAGGATGAAAGAGGTGAAGGAGAAAAAAAAATGAAGATTGTTTACAAGCAGTTCTTCTTTTTAAAACAGACAAAAGTAGCACTTTGATTTGGGTATTTTTGAAAGAAGCCTGTCTTGTCTTGTGGAAGGCAAAAACAAGGACAACCATTGGGAAGCCTGGTGGGAGCAAGAGGAAGGAGAAGGGTAGGAGTTGTGAGGGCACCTACAGAGAGAAGATTATTCATATTTTCCATTCTTGGATTTGAAAGCCTGTTCCAAAAATCAGTCCTTCGTATTGCATACAGCTACTCACCAGTTACTCCCTAGGTGTCTCTGAATCACATCTGCCTCATTTTCTGACAAAAGCAACTTGTTATTACAGTCAGCACAGCGCAGCTCATCAAGCTGTGAAAGTGGGAGCTGCAGTCAATTGATGTCTTGTGCATCATCAACAATTGCTAGCTAAGTGCTGATTTGAGACCCATTAAAACAGGGAATGACGAATGATGGCTAGAGAACAAGGCTTGATCCTCATGTCGGCAGGCTGCATCTGCTTCCTTCCAGAGAGATATTCGCTAGGGAGAAAAATCAGCACTGTATCCAGTCTCTACATAGCTACGATTTTGTAAATATTAAAATCCATCAAACCAATAAAGTTACAATAAGGTTATCTATATAACCTTGTAATATATAAAAATCTTACAATAATATATGTAATGTTCTATTTAATAACAGACACAGAGATGTAAGGTCAAGGCCATCATCAGACCTGGGGCACATATCAAAAGCAGAATAGCAAGGAGCATTAGTGAGGGAAAACTAACTCATTCTGCACATGGGAAAGTTTGCATTGCTGAATTTGGCAACACATAAGCACTTGAGAAAGCCCAAGTGATGGGAATAATACGTACCAGATGGACACTCAGCAGCACAGAGGAAACCTACTGCCGAATGGCTAAGGGGAGATTTTGCTGTCATACTGGAAAAGAAGTGGTGCTGGCTTGCACACCACATGCTGAAGTCATTGGTGTATTTTGGGATCACTAAGAACTGCGTTTTTTAAGGCCTGCATATAATGCATATAAATCAATGCCCACCAAAGGCAGTAAAATGACTCCAAATGATTTTATGTCCATAATCTAATATGCCTGAAAGAAGAAAGTAAGGCTGGAAAGTAAGAAGAGTTGCAAGTGGCCTGAACTGATAAGCTTGGAGAAGCAGAGATGAAAGGCACTGACTGACTACGAGGCCACCCACACAAGGAGGAGTTAACACTTCCAGGAAAGTAAGTAAACAGTTCTTGGTGATACCAAGGTAATGAAGTCCACACATCTAGGAGACATAGTGAAAATAACTGACACTGTAATGTATAAGCTGAGTGATAGATGAGCTAAATTACTGAAAGAAGAACAAATGAGCAACTCTCACAAGCAAGCCTATCCAGGACAGGTGCTGGCATCGGATACACCTTGAACACAGAGAGCGTCCATCTGCCAAAGACACTGGGCAGATGGAACCCCTCCTGGAGCCACCTGTGCAAACAGGAATGCAGCCAAAAGCCACTTCCTTGCAGACTTGTTAAGAAACCAGATTTCTGAGAGCTGGACACTTACAGTAATCCCATAGAGAGAGCTCTAGAGAACTTAATTCCTCCAGCTGAAATATCTGTGAGGGAAATGACTTGGGAGTAAGACTTAGATAACGTATAGTGCAAATATATCAGATACAAGTACAAAAGCAAGTGTATTGCAAGAATTGTGGTCCTTTCTACCTGCTGCTGGATAGTGTCTGCAGCAATCCTTAAAACATGCAATCCTTAAAAGTTTCAAATGAAAGATAATAAAATAGCAGTAATAATGATCCACAGCTATATTGGATGCTCCATACATACTTTCTGAAAGCACAGCACGTACAAGAATATTCTGAGACCTCTGGCTTGTAACAATTAAAAGGTTAGACATGGACCAAGCAGATCATCATCAAGGGAAACATGAACTCTTCCCATTAAAGACTGGGTAAGTAGGAAAAATAAATTGCTGCTGGAATTCTCTAATCAGAATAAAAATCCTCCCAACCAAGATGCTGAAGAAAGAACAAAGAGAGGATGTTCTCCAGCTGTTAGAAAGAAACCAATGGAAAGATCCACCTTCTCTCCCAGAAATGAAAGGAAAATGGGCAGAGAAATGATTACGTTGTGCAGCTGCATGGCAGAGCTCAACATGGCTGCACATGTATTCCCAAGACACAGAAGCTCTTAAAGCAGAGCAAACTTCAGGTTAGTGGTGTGGTCTCAAGCCTCTGAAGTACATTATATGTTCCCTACTGCCTCTTAACAGATATATTGGAGTACCGCACCTAAAATGAACCACCAGAAAAGCAGGATAGTATGAGTCATACTTGTTCTTTATGAATTTATGCTGATGCCAAGGGATCTTAGTGGGCAAGATGAGTTATGTTTGAGAAAATCACAGGACACAGCAAGTTTTCCCAGTTTACCATCTGTACACTAGAGCTCTTAGACAGGATTTCAGGTGTTTGTATCCTGACTAGCTAATGCCTTTGGATTTCCCCACAAAATTCCTTTTCTCAAGCACAGCTGCACTGCTTATCAAGTTTGACTTTTCAGCAGTTTATCAGATTCAGCCCAGGTTACAGCTTTTTTTTTTTTTTTTTTTTTCAAATGCCCCATATAGCAACAACTTGAGGACACTTCCTGTCAGCTCCTGAATAAAAGTATTCTGGCTTGATAACCACAAAACCTGCAGCTGCAGAGCTCTGTCCAAGCTGAAGCAGCCCTCTGGTAAACATCTAATTACTATGCACTGCACACGCAAAGCAGAGCTGTGTTCCTTTTGAGCAGCACCAGCAGGCTTGATTGGAAGATTTCACTGTTGTCGAGGAGACCTAATTTGCATGGCTTCAGACAGCACTCTCTGTTGAATCCCTGTGCATAAGGCGTCACCTCCTTACAACTGTCCCAGGATCAAGAGCTGGTCAGTACCCACAGACGTTGAAAGAGGCACAGCCCTGGCCAGACTTACATCAGCCACCGGGATAAGAGTGTCAGCAAGGTGACCAATTCGGTTCTTTCTGTACAGCCAGGACATTAGCAGTATCCCCAGAGCCACATCAATCAGCAGAGAGACAAAGATGTTGGCTTTCCTGCATGCAGAATAAAAAGAAACAGTGTCAGAGCAAAATGAAGGACAGCGTTTAATGTTTCAATTACAATTGCTGGCTTCTCTCACATAGCATCGTTAATGTCCCAGGGACACTGAGACAAGTTACTGAAGAAGCATGGTGGAGAGATCTTTTGACTTTCACTGGTGTGCTGCTACTTCAGTGGCCAAACAAGGAGCCACTCAGAGCCTGCTACACCACAAAACCTTTCTTATTATGGGGAGCGAAGAGTGGGATTGAAGCTATGAAGAGGAACGTTAGCATGCACATATATACTCAGAGGAGAATTACCAATACTAAGGGCACTGGCACTTGGAGAGCCACGTTGAGATCAGACGGCTTTCTAAGAGGTATACTTCAGTTGAACCACTAGTCAATGAAATAAACAGTGTTTCTGGGTACACAAACTTACCCAGAAGGGCTGCTGAACTGCCCCCTCACTGCTAGAGTTTCTGAATGAAGTTCCATGACATGAGTTATTCAGGAAATCAGATTAAACAATCACAGTTACTTTTGGCCTTCAAATCTGCTAATCTATTTTAAGTGTTCCCTGGGAGTCTACTTACTACTGCAGGATCAGAGAACCACACAGAACAAGACTTGCTGTATAATGGCCATAGGGCATTCAATATCTGTCTCAGATCTCTGCCTCTCCCCATTCCACTCACTGTGCCGCGTGTTTTTTCTGTTACATTGATATTGTTACTACTTTTGGAGCCTCTGGTCTGAAGTTACAGCAAGAAAGAGTCCCCAGAAGAGTGTGTGAAAGAGGGGAGCATTTAAACCATTCTGCTCTTATGGAAAGTGCCACTGAATAGTGATTGCAGATTTTGGTTAACAGCAGCATATGTGAAAGCAAGGAACTTGTAGGAGTAGTGATAGCAAAGCACTACACACATGGGTGCAGTACAAGCTTTCTGTAGGCAACATCACGGTCGCCTTTCCCAGGCTAGGAAAAAAGGCATATATCTAGCAAAAGGCATAACTAATATAAACAGAATGCAGAATAAAGATCTGCAAACTAGTAGGGAGTAGAGCAGGCAAGGCAACATGACATGGTGCTGTGCAGGACCAGGATCCATGGGTTGAGTTCCCCAGAGGAGACAGGGCTAGAGCAAAGGCATGCATGACTTTACGTGTACTTCGTACCTCATTAGTTGAGCCTGGGTTTCAGCCTTCTTGTTGCTGCTGATAACCTGGAGGTGCTGCAGGCGATGTCCCAGCTGCTCACAAGTTGAGAGTTTGCTCCATAAGAAAGACAAAGGCCAAATCTTCAGCACCCTGCAGAAACAGCATGGGAATGTCTCATTTGGCTTTTGCCATATAGCAAGCTGTCCAGTATAAAAACTCCATGCAAAACATTCAGTGTAAAGTTACAGCTGTGCAACCAGAGATTGCATCAACATTAAAGAATATCAGATGTTAACTACTCTCTTAAAGGTTAACAGAATTAAGGCAGCCTCTCCAGATCAAGACAACTAAAGGAGACAACCCAACCTCTCATTTCCATTCTGTAAAACCAAGTGCCTCGCTCTTCCAAGGAAGCCAGGACGTGATCCTGATCCCATCCTCTGCTTTGGGAGACAGGACAAGGACTGCACACTGCTCTGAGTCCCCAGGAGACTGGAGGCAAGGCAGTTGTGTGTACAATGCAACAACACAACATGGTGCGACGGCGTCACAAATCCCAATATTACTAACCACAAGTCTCTAACTAACGTGAGCTTGGTACAACAAACAGCTGTGTTCTCCCTGCAGTTTCTGTCCCTTTTCCCTCTTTTCTTTTTCTTTCACTTGATCCTTTTCTTTATTTTTTCTTTATTACTTCCAAATTCCTTTCTCAGGGTCTTAGTTTCTACCTTCTCTCCACTGCCTTGCCAAGGTGAACAGCATTATGTAGATAACATGACATTTAGCATTTCATTAGGTTTCAAAGTTAACATCCACATTAGGCTTGTAGGGGAGGAAATATTCCCACGGTTCTTTTTTTATGACTCAGAAGAAAAGTACCAAATGATGCTCAATTATTTTTGGGAGTTACTTTTATTACAACACAAACTATAAAGCAAGGAATGATGGTGATTTGTGTAGCCTAAAATGACACTACTGGATGCAGGCTCGTCAAAGGATGCACAGTAGGGCTATGGCATTACAAAGCACCATGTTTGTTGTGGGGAGTAAATTCTGATGTGGACATAATTTGGATCACTTCTTTCCACCATGGTGGTTTCACTATTTTCGCGGTGTTTCACTGTTTCTTATTAAGGGTCCAGGAATCTATGTTCACTTTTAGTCATTTCCTTCACCTACTCTCTCTTACTGCTTTAGCATGTGCCTTCAGTTTACATTCACTCCAAACACTAAAATTATTCCTGGTATCCCGCTTCACTTTTGAAATTGTCCAGCTGTTTGAATCATTAGTGAGCGTGGCCCACAGACGTGCCTGCAACGCATGCATTCTTCCCCCAGATTGCATTTGGAGGACTTCAGCCTGTGGTCCAGCAGCAGAGTGCCTTCAGGACTGGCCAGGATAAAACGCAGCACGGGCTGCTCTTTATACATTTTACACAAAATGCAAGGGTATAGTTTGTTCAAAATCCTGCTCAGTTCACTTGGGCTGCTATCCCCTTCCTCCCTCCATCCCCCTGCACCCTTTCAACCATCCTTTGTGCAAGGTTTGTCAGCTTAAAAAACCAGAGTGATGAAGTATCCCCTTCCCCCTCCTCATTCAAATTTCAGATACATTGGTTTTGAAATACATGCAGTGTACTGTGAATCATTCTTCTTAATTTGAGGCCTCTGAGTTACTCAGCTCTTCGTTACAGCCTCCCACCTTAGAGACAAATGAATGCACTGTTCTTCAGCTGACTTGTCAGGAGGTGATATCTAAAGTGGCAGAGGAAAGAGTGCCGAGCAGGGGAGGGAGACACGGGGGGCAACTGCAGTGGCCACTCATCTCAAAGACCAGGGTTCACAGATTCACCGAGGCACAAGTGCAAATGAGTTTTCTCTTCCAATTATACCTTATCCCAGTGGTTACAAATTCTGGTTTGGCAAACCTTCACTAGAGTGGAGAATTGCACTTGAAATGCAAAGAAGGGGGAAGGAGAAATGCTCTACCTGTGTGGTTATGTACAGACGGCTGAAGGTGAAAAATTACTGGTCAAAGCAACAGCTGCCAGACCATCTCAGGTCAAGGAGAAAGCAACGGCTCTGGGGCTGTGCTAAACACTCACTGGGCTAACCACCTCCTCATCCTCTCTCAGCAGCTTGTGTCTCATCGCTGCTCCATAGCTCCTCAAGTCAGAGACAGCCAGCTTGTGGGTCACCCATCAACCAGACACCTCCAGTCTCCCGCCTCAAAGGAAAGGGCAGGCTGCTGCTTTCTTCTGCCTGAGGAATGTCTTGCCCAAGCAAGAATGATTTCCAAAGCAGACTCATCTTCCAGCACGTGCATCCAATGGGTAAACGTGTCTCCCTGATTGAACAGGTTGGGCCCGAAAGAAACGTCTGTGTTTGACACACCAGTCTGCGCTGGCCCATGACTGACTCTCTTTTCTTTCCACTTAACATCAGAGGACAACCTCTATTCCACTTACATAGTTTCTTTGGAAAGTAAATATGTACACATACTTATTTCAATAAAAATACAAACACACTGTAAAAAGTTCAATATAATTGTTGCAAGATCTGCTATGGAAGCTCCCATCTCTAAGAGTACTGAAGGAAAAACCCAAAAATATTTCTTGCATGGTCTCCTACCCCTATGCATTGCCATAAATGCTCCCACTTGTTAACCACACAGTATATAGAATGATTTTATGAAGTGCAATGGAAAACCATCAAATAAGAAAAAAACCCAAACCAAATCCAAACAGTGATGTTGTCACTGCATTATTTAAGCAGTGGGAGATCTCTGGGGCATTTTAAAATAGAAGGAATTTTAGCAATAACTTAACATACCCTGCATGAATAAGTCTTGATTTTCCAACCAAGCTTTTCCAAAAGTGAGAAATCTTCCAGTTATCAGATTAAAATCCAATACCCATATCCAAATTTCAAATCAGGATCACACACAAACGTTAAAGCTCCATTAACCAGTACCCCTGGCTGCCTTTTTTGCTCCTTGCGAGAAACTGCAGGAACAGTGCCTCGTGTCTGGATGAGGAACCAGAGGTCATGATGTTTGTAAATGGACTTTTTTTTTTAAAAGGAGCACACAGAGTTTATTGTCTCAGTACTAAATCATCTTGACGTCCCCAACAGCACATTCGAGGCCTTCAGTGGTAATGAAAATCCTGCACACAAGTCTCTCTGAAGAGAGAATTGCAATGGCCACTCCTTAGCACAAGGTGGTGCTGCATAAATGCCTTAATTCGAGATGTACAGGATTTGAGAGCACTTTGCAAACTTGGAGGGATGTCAGTGCTCACTTTCTGAGACTCCTAATGCTGCTGCCCTCCTTCCCCTGCACAAACACACAACTGTGGGATATCCAAAAAAGCTTCAAGCCTCTGCAGCTACAGAGGACATGAGTAATCACTTTCCTTAGCTTTTCAAAGCTGACTATCTCTTAATGTCACAAAAACCTGGGAAAGAAAGAAGTCTGGTGATCAGAAGGAGCAAAAATCTTATAGATCCTCTTCTATGGGGTGTCCTGTCCCAGCACAGGGAAGTGGTGACTGGAAGAACACCTGCACATAATATCATTGAACCCTTCCTGCCTTGCGTGTGTTGGGACAAAGGAGGTTGTACCACACATCACAAGGTGAATTGAACCAAATCACATTAAATGACTTAGAAGGTCAAGCAGGAGGTTTGTCATAAAGCCAGGTACTAATCTCTGTTCTCCAATACTGATGTTTTAAAACACCTGTAAGATAAGTAAATATAATGCTGATACTACAAGTGAATAAAACAAAGCAGAAAGAAACCTGTATCTGCTTCCCAAGGTTAAAACCAAGTTCAACCTGGGTTTACACACAGCAAGTCTTGCATTCTGCCTGCTGGTACATACAGCTGGCTGCTGCTCTGGCTTAAAACATCCGTACTGGGCTTAGGAAAAGCTGAAATTAGAACAGCTCCAATAAGCCGGGTAGCAGCTATCTGTGTCCAACCTGCCAGACTAAGCTCGAGCTCCCACATTAACCTTAGACTGTGGCCTCCTGGATACCTGCGAGGCTTGGGCTTAACCTAAGTCTAAGCCTGCTCTAAGTCTTAGCACTGATCAAGGTGGGCAAGTCTGACCTTGAGACCAAGTGGCTACACAGAAAAGGATCATCCTGTTTGTTGGTAAACACACATGGTCCATGGACAGCCAGGAACAGGACCTTCAGAGCTGACTCCAAATCTTCTACACAGCCACAAATTTCTGACTTAGACAAATTTTCTGACGTTAACAACCATTAACACACTGTCTGCAGCGCAGTCCCAGAAACCAGTGGTCCCAGATTACATCAGGTCTGGGTTTGAGCCTAATCTCTTCCAACAGAGTAGTTCAAAACCAGACAGCTTCCCCTTTGTGTACCAAAATGCATAACCCAATTGTTCAGAAAATTTTTGCCTATGAAGAGTTTCACTGTCATTATGACAGTATCATACAACCAGAAACCTCTTAAAAGACTCTGTTTCCCAAACCCTTAGGCTGTACTTGAGCAGATTTATCCATAAATACAGTAGTAGCTCTTATCCAAATTCCATCAGCCAAAGTGTCCCCTTGCAGCTTGGAACCTGAACTCCACTTCCCTCTCTGGCACAACCTCTCCAGGCAGGCTGACCAGACGTGTTATTAAGTTTTATATGCAGAAGCTTCTCCCCTTCAAATCTGTTCAGAACTCAATCTCTAGTGCAACCACTTGCCATGTATTAAATTTGAAGCATCCTATTCAGTTTCATGGTTGTGAAAATGGACTTTCACCAAGGATTTTGTGCAGTATTCTTTGTCACCATGTTTGAGGAAGTCTTTAACCTCATGTTTTCAATGGAACTCCCCAAACTTTATAACAGCTCTGCAGCAGCCTGTTTCTAGCAGAAGGTTTATCCAGGAGCTTCTCTGCTTGTTGTTGCCCGTGGAACGTGACTTACCACTGGTTTATACTGGGTTAGTCTGCGGATGTGGTGGGACTAGCATAAGCAGCAGCCCTTCCCTCCACCCTTCTCACAACTGAGACTCCTATCAGCCGGTTTGCCCATTAAGCTCCTTGCAGCAGGTCTGCTCTTCTGCAGCACACCTCTGCATCCTGTCCCTGCCAGCCACATAAGGTCTGTCAGTCTGATCCACAACCTGCCGGGGCTTAACGGACACAAGCTGGAACACAGGAGGTTCCATTTAAATTTGAGAAGAAACTTCCTCTCAGTGAGGGTGACAGAGCACTGGAACAGGCTGCCCAGAGAGGTTGTGGAGTCTCCTTCTCTGGAGACATTCAAAACCCACCTGGACACCTTCCTGTGTAACCTCATCTAGGTGTTCCTGCTCCGGCAGGGGAATTGGACTAGATGATCTTTTGAGGTCCCTTCCAATCCCTAACGTTCTGTGATTCTGTGATTCTGTAAGTGCGTAAGAGGGACTGTACTGCAGCTGGGACCACCAAGCAAGGACGTCTTCTCTGAGAAGCTCCAAAGGAGGCATATTCACCTGTCAGCCAGAGCCCTGATCCACACTCCATACCTATTATGTCATCTGCTGTACCATCTAAGGGCCCCTTTACACATCAGTGATCTCAGAGATCAGAAAAGAAGGTACCCATGAGGCCTGTAAGGTCCATAAATCTACAAGCAGTACCAGGAGATACGATGTGACTGGTACTTAGAAAAGAAACTATTCTGTATCAACTTTATTTCTTACTATGGTTGAGCAGGAACCCTGCAAATGCCTAAACATGAACTACATTTCCATGCAAAACATAAGCTGGTCGATGCCACATCACTTACCGGCTCCTGCAGACCCCAGAGATAAGTGAGAGCAGGAACGTCAGCAGCATGCATGCAGGCACAGAGGCCTGCTTCATCAGCTCCACAATGATACTAGCTTCAACGCCATCCGACTGCCAGTGGGTCATCTTGATGGGCCCATCATCGTATCTGTCCGTCATGAACAGTATCTTGCTCTTTGCAACTGTGTCAAAGATGGCAGCAAGCTTAGAAGCATCATCTGCCTGGTGGTCAGTAGCAGAAGCTGTGTCCAAAGCGGGATGTAGATGGGAAAGCATGACTTTGCGCTGGTCATAGTATACCAAGATACTTTCTTCCATCTTAGGGTTGTTAGAGTGTTTTTGAAGGGTAGAACAGCTCCAGAATTTGCTGTCTCCCTCTTTGCTTATCTGAATCCATGGCTCGTGGGAGAATATTGTCGCAAGGTCTTCCAAGAACTTGCTCAGGCTCTCATCCTTGTCCTGTTTGCTGTTGCTCCAGGATCCAAGCACAGAAACACTGACTTTAGTCACCCGCTGGACTTCACTGAGATACTGCTTCACCTGGACAGGAATAAAAGGGAAATGGACCACGGCGAGGACAACAGCAGACTTCTGTTCTGAGATCCAGCGGCCAACCAAAATGCCGCTTTCTGCTGAGAAGCAGCATGATGGAAAGAAGACCTTAAGTACCATGGCAGTGAACCTAAAAGAACAGTACACCTGCCAATAAACACAGAAAGAAAAATTGAGAATGACAATTAAATGCAAGAAAAATTTGAGCTGACCAAAGTCACCGGTGAGGAGGCGCAATCAAGTTTTAAAACACTAAGTCCAACCGCTCACGTAAAAACATTAGTGACAGCCAACAGATACACACACATCAGAGTAGTATTTATGAGGTTCCTGATAATCTGCAGTCTTTGAAGTGAGGGCTGGTGAGCCTGGAGTTTCTCAGCAAAGTCCTTCTCCGAGTCCTGCTGTGATGGTACACTGACAGCACAGCCCATCAGACCAGCTAAGATCTTGGATCTGACACTGACTACATCATAGCACACCATGATGCCTCTGGGGAATATTTCCTCCTATTACTGACAATCAAATACTGGTTTATGCTATAAAGCCACATGATTTCAGAGCCTCTTTTATCACCTGGGAACCCAGCGCTGTGCTCTGCAACAAACTCACTGAACAACCTCAGTCAGATCACTCATCTCTTGCCTCACTTCTCTCATCTGGAAAGAGATTATAATTTTATCAAAAAGGACTATAGTGATTAACTGATTGAAGTTTACATAGCACTTTCAATTAATTAGATACGAGATCCTAAAAAAGGAGAAGCATCTCTGCTTTATCACTGTTCTTTATCTACAATATTTTTCTTCATGTCATTAAGAAAACACTCAATGGCTTTGTAAGACATTTACAAAAAGGAGCTTTGAGGCAGTTGACAATGTCTCTTTAAATAAGGTGAAGGTTTCTAACAGAAATATAATTGCAGTAAGGAGGGCGCTGGCGCAGAACAGTCGGCATCCGGCACCCGTTGTCCTTTCCCGTCCTTCAGTGCTTTGTTAGAGATGTGAGAACTCCGCAGGCCCCTGAGGCTGGCTCCTCTGCGAGGGACCCAGTCAATCGGAAAGAGAAACATAGAGTGTATTTATAACATGTAGAGAGGATGCGCAACATGAAGGTCCCTGGTGGCTTTGTTTTTCTCTCCTTTTAATACAGGACAATTGATCTAGTAAATCTTGGCACCTGGCAATTTGCTACAGCACGGAGGAAGCGATGGGGAAGCAGCAAAGGCGAGTGATTAACCTACTCCCAGCCCCACAGCCCTGTCAGGCACAGCAGTAAGAAATTTCTGCTCATGGATGAGTTGTCAGCCCCTCAAGGAAACAAGGTGAAGTTTCCTTGGCGCACAGCTCGCTCCTCCAACAGGAAAAGCATTGCAGTTGGTGGATTGGCAAGAAGTAATGGGTTTTTTTCCTGGGACTGAATTTTCCCCTTTTACTGCAAAGCACACCCCAAGACTTCCTCTCAAACAGGCATAAGGGTGCTTGTGAGGGCTTTTATTCACAGCATGCTGGTGGGACCAGACAGTGCTTGCAGGTGCTGAGGGCAGCAAGTACCAAGCACCGACCCTTGCTGCCCCACCAACCCTTCAGCCCACAGCTAGATTTGAGGCCACAGAGGGACTTCCATCTCTCTCTCCTTGACCAGAGGGATAACCCCAGAGACATGGAGACTGTGAGGAAATAGGATCTCAGAAGAATCTCAAATAATATGTGTTTTTACAAAAGATTGCAAGGCTTTAGCAGAAGGGGAAGGGAAGTGGAAAGATGGAGGGTTTCTACCCTTCAAAGGAAGGGTAGAAAACTGGCAGATGTGACAACCTGAGACTGAAGATGCAGGACAGCAGGCATGGGAGAGACCAAAGACTTGCAGTACAACTGAAAAATGCCATCTTTCACCAAAGTTTAATGACTTTTAGACCCAAATGGACTGAAAAACAGGACAGCCAAGCTTATTTTTCTCTTCTATTGAAATAGCTAAGACTCAGATGGCTTTTCGGCTTGCTGGCAGTTTTTTTGGAAGACCATGAAGACAATGAGGGACATGTATCCTATCTAAAAGAGTTGTTCCTGACACACACAGGAAATTTCAGTGAATATCAGCTAACAGACTGGTCCTTAAAAAAAGTCTGAAATAAAATCTGTCCCCTACATTTTGCTTTTCATTCCTTTAGCAAGACTGGGTTTATCCAAGGATATTGGCCAAAATAGTCTTCCCTTCACCGCCTCTCCAACCTCCTTGCCTACCTCAGGTTGTTAAAGAAACGTTATCAGGTGAGATAAGATTTGCTTCATGATTTAGCTTTAGGTTTGAAAAAGGATTTTCATTCTTTTTCCCTAAGACCCACAGACATATTCCCAGGAAAAAGGAAATACATTATATAAATACAGGGGCTCTGAAAGGTAAAATAACAGATTGAACATGTCGGGAATGTACATACACACATATGCTCAGAAATTATTTAAAATAATATAAATTTAGCTAGAGTGATAACATTCTAGCTATATAGCAGCATCAAAACTTTACAAGTGACACCTACCAATAACTGAATACTCTAAAAACTGAAATGGAGCCGGATGTTTTAAAGAACCCAGAGAAAAATTAAGAAAATAGGTACTTGAATGGGTTTCTTCAGTATTTCTATTTTAATTACCAAATTACCACCAGTAATATTGGATAACTTCTTTAAGTTGATTTTTTAACTCTTCTTTTTCCTCAAGAGATGTCACTGCTGTTTGAGAGTATCACTACAAGAGACTTCCAGTGTCACTGCATGGCTGTCCTTCTTAAAGGCTGGACATTGGACATTTCAGAGAAGAATCAACTGACTCTTAATTCAAACATTTATTTTTCATTAAGATTTTTTTTAAAGATAGGCACAGTCATCTGAGAAAACTTCTCACACAGGAGAAACCCTTTTCATCCTTATCTTCTCTAGTTTAGGAGTTTTACCTCTTAAATCTTCCCCAACCTTTCAAATTAACTTAGTTTTATGCAGCTATTTTGGCTATAGCTCAGGTCAAATAATACCTAAGCACATCATCTGTCCTTTGGCTGCTGCAGATATGGCAGAGAAGACTCTGATACAATTTTCAGGCTGTACAAAATATCTTGATAGCCGAAAACCATCTGATCAACTATTCCTATGTTAATGTGGCATAGGTAGTAACCAGGGAGTTGGCCTGGGAGCTCAGGCAGCAGGGCTTGTATTCTCAAATCCATGACTGATCATGCATCTTACTTTATTCATTTCAGTCAATCATTTGAAATCCAAAGCTGACATTTTAAATGTCACCACAGTCAACTGTTTCACTGTTGCTAATTTTAACAGAAATATCCCACCAGTGTGCTCAGTCCTTGCTCACAAGTGCCTGAAGTCTTCCAGATCTGGCCATTTCTGCTGCAAAGCCCCAGCTTTTCCCCCCAAGGTGCCACAGAACATAAATGCAACTACCTCAGACACAGTAAAACCAACAACAGACGCCACTTAAAATGCATCAACACAACCAACAAATGAACAAAGGACCCCAGGACTGATTCATTTCAAAATTTTAGACAGAAAAACAGGGGCTGCAGCCCCAGTCTTACCACGTGGGCTGCCTCACCACCAGCTTGAGCATCTCCAGGTCCCTCCACAGGGCTTAGGGCCACCAGGCCAGGAGATGCAGAGAGCACTGACAAGGTGGCCACGGTGGTCTTGGGGGAGCAGGAACAGGGCTCTCTCCCCACAGAGCCCACCATCCGTTTGTGCTGGGAGCTTGTTCGTCCGGTTTTTTTGCCGTTTTTAAACGTTATCTTAGGGCAAGGGTGGGCTGAGACACAGCAGCAATGAAACGCCTCCTCCCCAGCCCCCTCGTTCAAGTCTAAGGCATATTTAACCTCGACCCCCAGCCCTCGGGCTGACCCTACAACGCCTACGGGGCCGTGCTCCGCCGCCCCGGCCCAGGCTATCACGGGGCCGAAGCAGTCGGTAAGGGCTGACACCCCCGGCCAGGCCTCGGCGGGGACGGA